TCTACTTAACTAGCAGCAGTGATTAATATTTGACAGCAGAGGTTATGTAAGACAGCATGCCTGGAAACTCTGGCCAAAACAAAACAAATACACCCCACCCCACTACAGATTCAAAATGGTGAGGAAGTGCTTCCAAACAGCCACCAGTAACAAGGGTGGAATTCTGCCTTCCTTCATCATAGGCTCCGTCTGAAAAAGGCCTGCTTGATAGAAGCCGGTAACTTAGATGATGATCCTGAAGTACCGTAGCCTAGTCTTTTACTAGCAACTGTGTCATATATGTTCAAGGATGACAATTAAGACATTTCCACAAATGCACACTTCAGGTCAAAGGTACACCCTGCCTCCTGACCCCAATCCCCCTATTATTGCTGCTCAAGAGACAGGTTTATAAGACCCAGCACTGTTTCTCCACTGGGGTGAACCCAGGGAACCTGGCTCACTCCCTGGTCACTGCCTGTTTGCACAGGGGCTCAGTTACCCGGGTGCCATCGAATGAAATCTGATTCATGACAACCCCATGTGTGTCAGAGTAGACCTGTGCTCCACAAGATCTTCAGTGGCTGATTTTTCAGAAGCAGATTGCCAGGCATTTCTTCCAAGGCACTTCTGGGTGGACTCAAACCTCCAATCTTTCAGTTAGCAGCCATGTTTGTTAATTCACTGTCCAAAATTATGCTATTTGGCATCTTTAATTATTTTCATCTTGAATGTGACCAGTACCCACAATATTACCAAGATGCATTATTACAATTACATATATAGTCACCTTCCAATTATACCCACATTATAAATTATCCCTAGTTTACCCCCTCCCATCTCAAGGGCAGCACACTCGTTTCCTAGTTTACTAGGTTGCGGGTTAAGTGACAATTGATGCTTCTAATTATTTTCCCTCTGGTAGCATAGTGGCTAAGACACTTGCCTGCTAACCAGACGGCTGGCGGTTCAAACCCACCAGCCACTCCTAGGAAGGAAGGTTGGGCAATCCTACTTCCGTAGTGATAATTGCCTCGGAAACCCAAGGAGGGGTCGCTATGAGTCGGGTTTGACTCAAGGTTGGGCAATCCTACTTCCGTAGTGATACTGCCTTGGAAACCCAAGGAGGGGTCGCTATGAGTCGGGTTTGACTCGACGGCACATAACAACAACAACAATTATTTTCCCTGTTGCTGCTGACTTAAGAATGTGTTCTTTCAAACTTGATGATGCCTGGCTACCACTGTCAATCACTTGGAGGGGGATCTATGTAGATCCAGGATAGAGAGGAATAACAATATGGAACAAAACTCAAAATCATAAAAAAAAAAAAAAGGACCAGGTTTACTGGTCTGATAGAGCCTAATGGAACCACTGAGATTATGGCCCCTAGCTGCCCTTCAGGTCTGGAATTGAACCCACTCCTGTGGCTTCCAGCCAAACAAAAGACAGGCCTATGAGCTGAACATTTACATTAGGTAGATACACTCCTTGGAGAGATCAATCATGGGAGAATAGAAGGGCTGTGTATGCACAGGGAGACAGCTCCGGGGACAGGAGTGCATGGGAAGGAAGGACACAGGGAAGAGGTAACTATAGGGAAGAATCGGGAAGAGAGCTGTTGCATTGTGGGAAATTGCAGTCAGTGTCACGAGACAAAATGTATGTGAGCTGCTGTATGGAAAATGAATTTGCTCTGTAAACTTTTACCCAAATCACAATAAAAATTTTAAAAAAGAAAACTCCCTAGGAAATAAAAGTGTTACATGTTTGTAGGATTTATGTTAAAGAGTTCAGAAAGTCATTCCTCACCTTGATCAAAGATTTAAGTGGTAGGTCCTAGACCCATTCCCTTTTTGCTCTGTTTCAAATTTGTAGGCTGCAGCTTGGGAAGAGAGCTCTGGGCATGTACCTCTCACTTGTAGGACATAGTATGTTCAGTGCATCAGTGGTGGGTACCAAGCATCATGAGATCCAGCTGGCACACCTCTTTGAAGTGGGAGGCAGCAGCACTAGCTTCACATGAAGGTCAAACCCAACAGCCACAGAAGCATGCACCACCTCCCCCAGGAGCCACCTGAACTAAGGGAAGGCTCCAAATGTGTGTGGCTGCCTCACTGGGCCATCAACAGTGCTTTGTACATCTTACCCCACAACTCCCATTTTTACTGTTAATAGAAAAAGAGAACTTATGTCATCCCAGGACTTAAGAAAGCAAAGGCAGAGACAAATTGCTATGAAAAGTTACTATTTTTTGCTTTAAAAAAACAATTTTAAAAGTTAACCTCATGGATACCAAACTGCATCTCAAGTAAAATCTCAACTCTCTTGAAAAAGATTGATAATATGTCAAAATATAAAGAGAGTTACTTCTAGATGATTCCTCATCTCCAGCCCATTTTTTTTTAATTCACTGTAATTCACCAACTTTCTAGAATGAGTACTGTTGCCCTAAGATTCAGAAAACAAACCTAACAAACTTCTAAAAATTAACCAACTAATTAGAAGCTGGGAGCTCTGGTAGCATAGCACCTAAGGCATTTGACTGCTAACCAGAAGGCTGGTTACCAGTTCAAACCCACCAGCCACTCCTTGTATAGAAGACTGGGCAATCTTACTCCATAGAGATACTGCCTTGGAAACCCAAAGAGGGGTCGCTATGAGTTGGAAAATGACTCGATAGCACTGAATTTGTTTGTTTTTTTTTTAATTAAAAGCTAAATCTGAAAATCACTTCAACATTCTAAAATTCAACAGAATAAACCTCAACTTCCTTTCTCCTCTTTCTGATTCCAACTTTAAAAGTCCACTTATAAAGTGTCCGTACTTCCATATAAACATTTCAAGGAGGATTCACTGATGCTCACACTAGATTAAGACATGCTTGTTTAGAAGTTCATCAAAAAGACAATTTAGACTATTAAAATGTTCACATCCCCAAGTCCATTAATCTCAATGTCCATCGACAGATGAACAGATAAACAAAATGTTGTGCATACATACGATGAACTATTTCTCAGCCATAACGAGAAATAAAGTCCTGATACATGCTACCACGTGGATGAACCCTGAAAACATGATGCTAAGTGAAATAAGTCAGTCAGAAAAGGACTGATATTGTATAATCCCACTTACATGGAAGAGGCAAATGTATGGAGATGACATCTCATTAGTGGTTACCTGGGGTGAAAAGGAAAAGGAGAGTCACTGCCCAGGGGCACTGAGCTTCTTCTAAAGGCTGATAGAGAATCTGGAAACAGATAGTGGTGATGGTTGCTCAACATAGGCATAATCAATGTCACCGAGTTGTACATATTTTGCTACATATTTTTACCCCAATGGGAAAAAAATATATATATATACTGAGTACAATAGCAAACACATTTCTGGATAAAAATCAATACATGTGTATTCTCTGTTACAGAAATCAATGCACAAGTGTTTGTGCATACTCTTGATGCCACTGGTCCCAGGCGTCAGCAGCCCAGCCTTTCTCTGTGCACAGGGTGGGTCCCAGATTGGGTAGAAGTCAGGTCTCATCAGGGGTCCCAAATGTAGGTTATTTAGAGTTTTCACCAAGCCTGGGACGTTTTGGTTTTGTACGAGAGCACTGAGGATCCCCAAGTATCTCTGAAACATGAAGAAAAGTAAAGTTTGCTAATAAATAAAAATGTCTTTAAATTAAGAGCTGACATTTACAAAATAAATTTAGTGCCAAGATAAGGAACCAAACTCCCTGGCAAGATGCTATGTTGATTCATGGGGAAGGATTTGTATCAGTGGTTCCCAGTTGGGGGGCAAGTCTACCCACCCCTGGGACATCTGGCAACATCTGGAGACATTTTTGGTTGTAATGACTGAGGGGGTGGTACTTGCATCTAGTGGGGTAAGAGAGCAGGGATGCCACTCAACACCCTACAATGTATGGGCCAGCCTCCACCACAAAGAATTTTCCAGTCCAAATGTCAATAGTGCTCAGACTGGAAAACTCTGATCTATATTATCTATACATTTCCTGAACCCACTTTCCATGTCCCAGTGATGCTTTTACTGCCAGGAGGGTCTACCTGCTGAGACATTAATAGGCAGCTGTTGAGTTTGAATGACAGCTCTTATAAGATGCATCCTTGCTTTCTCAGAACTCACTGGAAATCAGTTGGTCTTAATTTCCAAAAGAACAAAAGAGAAGACATTCTTGGGACCATAGTCACAAGGGACATCAAGCTCAATTGGCATAATATACTACACAAAAATATTGTTCCACATCCTACTTTGACGAGTAGTGACTGGGATTTTAAAAGCGTGCAAGTGACCATCTAGATTCAACGATGGATCTCTCTTCATCCATAGCAAAAACGAATGAAGAAAACCAAAGACACATGGAAACAATTAGTCTAAGTGCCTTGTTCACCATGCAGTCCTCAGCCTATATGACTATGAGACCAGAAGAACTAAGATGGTGCCTGGCTACCACTGTCAATCACTTGGAGGAAGATCTCTCTGTAGGAGATCTTGGCTAGAGTGGGAGAACAATATGGAATAAAACTCAAAATCATTTGAAAGAAAAAAGAAAAAGGGACCAGGTTTGCTGGTCTATCAGAGCCTGATAGAACCACTCAGACTATGGCCCCTAGTTGCCCTTTAGGTCTGGAATTGAACCCACTCCTGTGGCTTCCAGCCAAACAAAAGACAGGCATATGAGCTGAAGATTTACACTAGGTAGATACACTCCTTGGAGAGATCAATCAAGGGAGAATAGAAGGGCTGTGTATGCACAGGGAGACAGCTCAGGGGGCAGGAATGCACGGGAGGAAAGGACACAGGGAAGAGGTAACGATGGGGAGGAAGTGGGAGGGAAGCTGTTGCATTGTGGTAAATTGTAGTCAATGTCATGAAACAAAGTGTATGTGAGCTGCTGTATGGAAAGTCAATTTGCTCTGTAAACTTTCACCCAAATCACAATAAAAATACTAAAAAGGAAAAAAAAAAAAGATATTCTAACAAGTATAGCTATCACTTACCTGACTGGTTTTCTTCTGTGGAAGGGGTGGGAATTACACTTGTTGGTATAGAATTTGGTGTAGTATCTGTCTTTAAGGGTATTAAGTTTATTCTCCTTGATTAAAGAAAAAGAAGGAGAAAAGGGAAGCACGATCATTAGTGCCAGAATTGTTAATGGTTGACACCAAATTTCAAAAATACCAAAGGACATACTTAAAAATTTCAGGAGATCATTATACAAGGCACTACACATAATGCTGATATGCCTTATATAACTAAGGATTATGTTTATATACTGAGTTAAACTATCACATGCATCATGGTCAACGTAAACCTTAACTAGACAACTAAAGGTTTCAAAGCCTATGTTTTATTATCACCAGCAGTGTGCTGAGCCACCTGCTACTAGATGTCATGTGCACGACTACTAGACATGGTGTTTACACTTGGAAAGCCCAAAACATTGATAATTCTTCTATAAAATCCAGACTCTTCATTTTCAACATCGATTACTTAAAAAAAAAAAAAAGAATTACAGCTTCTGGAAGCTTGGTAAATACTTTGGAAGAAATTTTAGAGAAAAGAAAAAGTTTTATATAAAAAATATTTAAAAGACACTCCCTTCCCCATTCCCTTCCTCCACCTAAACACAGATAAAATAAAAATGCATCTGTGATCTGCAAAGAGAAATTGGAGCTTAAAAAGGAGCTCTTAAAAAAAAAAAGGAGCTCTGGTGGTGCTGTGGTTAAGGCACTGGGCTGCTGACCAAAAAGTCAGCAGTTTGAACTCACCAGCAGCTCTGCAGGAGAAAGACGAGGCAGTTTGCTTCCATAAAGATTTATACCTTTGAAACCCTATGTGGGTCGCTGTGCATCAGAATCGACTTGATGGCAGTGGGTTTGGGTTTTGTTTTTATACACCTTGTATAAAGAATTTTCCAGTGGAGTGACATGAACATAGTTGAGAACTGGAGAGGCAGCAAGCACTCTACTGTCATTCATCACCCTCACGTCTTCCCTTGTCATGGTCACCGCCTGCATCCCCGTCCCTGCAAAGCTCCCAAATCAGTAGATCTGGATGGTCAGGAAGTAGAGGGATTGGGGGAGAAGGAAGGATACAGAGTCAGGGGGATAACCAGACATCAGAGAGCAAAGGAAGGAAAATGAAGGCTAACTGCTGCTTGGCAATGGAGCGACAGTGAGAGTGTGTGGTTCGCCAGTTGCAGTGAGAGAAATGAGCTCAGGCACACACAACAGCCAAACTGACACAAACAGGGAAGGAACCCACTGTGGCATCACCAAGTCGATGGTTTTATTATCAGACCAGAAAGAACTGTTTACCATGAACCAGTCTGCTGGAAACAGCAACTACAATCTTAATAAGAGGTTGCTTCAATTTCCTATATGTGGTGAAGTGCCTGCTACCATCCTTGGGGAAGAGAGCAGAGAGAGAGAATCAGGACACACTTCCTGTCCTTGAGGGACTCGCACTCTAACAGGGGAAAGGAAGCACAAATCAACACCTACAATCAATGTGTTGTTTGACGTGCTACGGCAGAGAGAATTTAGAAGTGCTGAATGGCTAAGGCTCAGAGGAGTGAAAGGACACTCCAACAGATCTTTCAGGAGGATGCTAGTGTCACCAAGGGGAGAAGATATACAGTGTGTTTTGGAGAAAGGGAAAGGCACAGATGCCTCAAAGTGTGGCATGTGTGCTGGGCTGGAGATTTAGGCACACGGAAAGCAGGGGAATGAGAGGCAATGGTCCAACCATAGGCTGCAACCAATTCACAGTCTATGTGCCACTTTGCATAGCAGTCTGCACTTTACACACCAGGTAGGCAACAGGGAACCAAAGTGACATGCTCAGATTTGATAAGGACTTCAGCAACAGTGTGAAGCATGTGTTGTATGGAACCTCACCTATAACAGTTTGGGGTTTTCAGTTTTTACTTAGCTTCTCACACTGCAATTAACAGTTTCTTGTTGTGTCAACAGCTCTTACCGGGGTGCTGTCTTGCTCCAGGCTTGCAGTGTGTTCAGAGTGACCCTGCGGGGTGGGTGGGCTTTCACGCTAGGACCGCTGGGCTGCGGGGTTGTCTTCTCCTCTGCAGACCCTGGTGAGGCACCTTTAAGGCCAGGAGTCATTGAGGGCGTGTCTTTTACCACCGGAGGGGCTGTGGATGGCTTGCTCTGAGGGGGGGTGGTGCTGGGACTGCTGGGGTCCTGGGTTCTGCTGGTGGGGGTTCCTTCCACTGATCTGGATCCTGGTGAAGACCCTTGGTGTATCTGACTCTTAGTTTTCTTTGCTGTTCCAGGAGTTCTTAGGCTCAAAACTGGCTTCTCTTTCAAAGGTATTCCAAGTTCATCCTTCTCAAATGTCACAAATGAACAATAACCATCTGTGGAAGAAATGGCCAGGAAGGCCCCATCGCTGGACCTTATTCCCCAAAACAGGAGAGAGAAGTTAGAAACCTTGCAAGGGCTACGCACCAAATGGTATGTCATCACACAGAACCTCATGCAAAATTGCAAGCTTTTTTAAAGGCAAAAACAGGAGAGAAGAGGGGAACCATAATTAAAACGTTTGTTTTAACTCCTTAGTTATGCCCATCCACTTCCCAAGCCCATCTCAACTTCCTAAATCACTGTAGTATACCTTTTCTGGTATCAGATTTCACCTGAACAAAGGTGAGATGACCTGTTCTTCAAGGTCAAAAGGAAATTGAAAGAAGAAAAAGGGAGTTATGAAGAGCAAGCCACAGATTGTTAGTGGCCAGACTTTGGCTAGTGCTCATACTAGGAACAAATCAGCCAAGGAGACTGAATCAGAGAACCACGAGGTGGCTCAGGGCTGAAAGCAGAAAGGCCGATGGCCTGCCAGGACGCTGTCAGCACGCCAGCACCTCTCTCTGTCTGGGTACCAAGGACTCACAGGTGTGGGCTTTTTCTCCCAAGGGGGCAGCTACAGGGCCTGCTGATTCTCCAAACCCAGGGAGCCATGGGGCAGTCCTTCAGTTTATTGAAATTAAGTGAATCTCATAGGGAAATCTGAATAGCATCGTGACCCACAGCTGTTAAAACAGGAAGCAAATACTGTGGCAAACTATAAATTGCTTTCCTTTTAATGCTGACTCCTTCAACAAAACAACTGGTAAAATAAGGACAAAAAAAGCATTTAGTGATGAAACATTCTCTAATGAAAGAGTCTATTCCAGGGTAACAGCTACTGCTGTTGTTAGTGGCTGTCGAGTCACCCTCAACTCATGGCCACCCCATGCACAATGGGATCAGACTGTTATGATCCCTAGTTTTCACTGGCTGACTTTCAGAAGCAGATCACCAGCCCTTTCTTCCTAGTGTTTCTTAGTCTGGAAGCTCCACTGAAACCTGTTTAGCATCATAGCAACATGAAAGCCTCCACTGACAGACAGGTGGCATCACCAGCTACTCACCATGAAATATCACTCAGGGTATGATAATGTATATTAGATACATAACCAAAAGGGAAACATTGCTGAGAATCATATAACAGCACGGAGTCTTCGGAAGCCACTGCAAACACCAAGCGGTAAGGCAGGTTCATCAGCTCCTGACTTGGCTCTTGTGATAATTTGTCTGCATAAAGGGTCAAAACGGGGACAAAGGAAGGAAAAGTAAAACAAACAAAAACAAAGTTCCCAAAGGAAACAAATTTCCTCCAAAAAGTCTTCTCCAGGGAATATAAGTAACATCACTCTATTAAAAACTAATCTGTTTGATGTTTAACAAAAGAATTATTTTTATACTATTTGATGTATGTATGTATGTATTTATACATACATACATACATAACTATATAAATAACAGAAAGCCATACAGGAACCAGAAAGGACAGGGTATCATGTATCAAGAATCATTGGCCCCTAAGAGCCAAAAAAGATAAAAGTGAAAAAGGCATGTGAATGAGGCAAGTCAACCTAAGGGGACATTTCCTAATAAGGAGAAGGTTATTTAGAAATATGTTATCAAGTGTTTTATATTCACTCATATAAAGGATGAAAAAGTTAAAAACAGTGTCTGCTTCCAGATTTACCCTCCCACCCCAAACAGCTAAAATATAGGCAAAATGTATGAAACAACAGTGTTTAAGTCACTGGACATCATGTAGGACAAGCCCTGAGAAATGAGTCACAAATCAGCTAAGTCCTACAAGTACCCCAGCTTACTGCCCATGAGTGATCAGGCCAGTCAAGGCAGAGGAAACTCAGGCAGAGCCCAGTGGACTCCCTGAGTTGAGAAGAGGAGCTACAAGTCCGGGAAGGCCCAGGCAGCCAGAATTCACAGGGCAGAGCACCAGAGAGCTGCAGAGACCCAGGGATCTGCAGATCCCTCTCGACTATTCGACTGAGTCCTGATCAGTGCAAGCATGTGAGGAAAATGCTTGAGGCTGGGGAAAGAATGACTGGAAGGAAACAGAACAATCTTTGAAGCTCACAGAGGGCCAGGAATAGAGTGTGCTTCAACCAACAAGGATGGAAATACCTCTTATTTCACAGGGTACTGGTTAGAGTACTCAAAGGGTTTTGCCTCAGTAGAAGGGAAAATTGGCTCTACACTAAATACTGCTGTTGCCTCATCTAACAAAGTCTAAGAAAATCAAAATGTTTCCAAGTAACTTAACTGCATCCCAAAATAAAGTTCAAGAATATTTTTAAGAATAAAAATATATCCAGCATCCAGTAAGATATAATTTACAATGTCTGGTACCCAATCAAAAATAACCAGTCATGCACAATACTGCATTATCAGTAATAACAAACATTAATCTACAGTTGGATACATAGGTAGACAAGCTGAATGATCAATATGTCTAGGCAAAAGAGAATATACCCATGACCACAGATGAGTCTGGCAGACAGTATTTCTACATACATATTTATAAATGCTATAAGAATGTCCATATAAATAATAGAGTTAATGGGGCAAAGTAATGATAATTTCTTAGCCACAGCCAAACACCCTAAGGGAGTGAGTCACTGTGCCCACAGGCTCAGAACCATGGTCATGAGGGACATCAAGCTCAACTGGCATAACATACTACACAAAAACATTGTTCTACACCCTACTTTAGTGAACAGCAACTGAGGTTATAAAAGCTTACAAGTGGCCATCTAAGATGCAACAATTTATCTCTCCTCTTCTGGACCAAAGAATGAAGAAAAACAAAGACACATGGAAATAATTAGTCCAAGAGATTAGTAGACCATGCAAACCTCAGCCTACATGACTCTGAGACCAGAAGAACTAGATGGTGCCTGACTGCCACTGTCCATCACTCAGAAATGGATCAAAATAGGAGATCTCAGATAAAATGGGAGAAGAATGTGGACCAAAACTCAAAATCATTAAAAAAAAAAAAAAAGACCAGATTTACTGGTCTGATAGAGACTGGTGAAACTCCCAAAACTACGGTCCCTAGTCACCCTATCGGCCTGCAATTGAACGGACTCCTGTGGCTTCCAGCCAAACAAGAGACAAGCATATAAAGTAAACATTTATACCAGGTAGGTGCACTCTGTAGAATGATCAACTATGGCAGATCAAAAGGCCAGTATTTGCATGAATAGCTCAGAGGACAGGAATGCATAGGAGAGAAGGACACAGGGAAAAGGTAACCATGGGAGGAAGTGGGAAGAGAGCTGCTGAACTGTAGGGATTGCAATCAATGTCATGAAACAAAATATGACTAAACTGTTGTATGGAAAATGAATTTGCTCTGTAAAAAAAAAAAAAAAAAAAAATCCCAGTCATGCAAAGAAGCAAGAAAATATGATCTATAATAGGGAAAAAAATCAATGAATCAAAACCAATCCAAAATGGTAGAATTAGCAGATGAAAACATTAAAAGAATTATTAGTACTATATTCCATATGTTCAAGAAGCAAGAGGAAAGACTGAGTATGGTAAGTAGAGACATGGAACACATGAGACTCAAATCAAACTTCTGTATGAAAACTATAATGCAGGAGATGAAAAATACACTAGATGGGACTAAGGGGAGATTACATAGAACAAAAAATTAGTGAACTCAAAGCGTAGCTACAGAAAGTATTCAAAAGTAAAACAATGAGAGAAAAGACTAAAAAGTACAAAGAGGATCAGTGAACTGTAGAATAATTGAACTAGCTTTAATACATGTGTAATTGGAGTCCCTGAAGAAGAGACTTTAAAAATGACCCAAAAAATTGAAAATTTCCAAATCTGATAAAAACTGTAAACCCATGGACCTAAGAAGCTCATCAAACTCCAAACATATGAAAAACAAAGAAAAGTATATCGAGGCACATCATAGTCAGATTGCTTAAAGTCATAGATAAAGAGAAAATCTTAAAAGCAGCCAGAGGAAAAACAAATTTAAAAATAAACAAAAAAACAATTCATACACAATTTCATTATCCAGAAAATCAATAATAAATGACATTCAACCTGCTTTAGTAGAAAAACAAAACTAGTACTCATATTCCTTTAAAGCTGCTTTAAGCCAGGAAAGTATATTCTGGACATTGCAGAAAAAATTGATGCATATTTTGATACCATCAGTCTTTTTTCCAGCTTTTGAGAGGGACTAAACTTCTGCAGAGCTCTGGTAGCATAGTGGCTAAGACACTTG